CATAATTGCCAGTTCCTCCAACCTCTAGGCCTCTGTGTGCTTGTAATCTCAGAGGCACACACACTGCTTGACCCTTACTGGGGGATAGGCATGGCTGTGTGTATTATAAGTAGACCCCACACTTGTAACCAGGCAGAAAGTCCTGTTTTTAGACCTTGACAAAAGCTGTGCTTTGCACAGGAACTAAATACATGTGTTCTGAAGAAATGAATATATGATAAATCAAGGCAGCTGTGTATTTAAGAAAACTAGTTGGGATGATATGATGTCAGAGAAATAAGGCAGAGAGTAAAAACCTAAGACAGTCAACTGGCTTTTTCTGCATGTTGCCAGACAACTGCCTGATCTTCTCCCTCACTCCCAAACAATGGATTATTTTAATGCTATCGGGTAAAGGAAAAACCAAGTAAACACGGAGGAGTAGAGAGAAAAGCAGCTCAAGAAGTGGGAGCGGCATATTCAAGGTAGGGAGGAGATCATATTCTGTAGGGAATAAGAGAAGTTCATGGTAGCTTCAATGTAAAAAGTGAGACAGTGAGTGGCATGATTTGAAGATAAAGTAGCAGAGGAACACGCATCAGACAGGGCATTGCAAACTCTATTTGGAAAATACATCTTTATTCTGGAAAGAACTGGAAGGCTCTGAAGGATTTTAAATGACCCAATAAAATAATCACTTATGCATTTTGCAAACATTAGAAAGAAGAAGGTACAGAATCAGGGAGACTGTATTAGTTTGTTCTCACACTGCTATGAAGAAATACCTGGGACTGGGTCATTTATACAGGAAAGAGGTTTCATTGACTCACAGTTCCACATGGCTGGGGAGGCCTCAGGAAACTTACAATGATGGTGGAAGGGGAAGCAGACACATCCTTCTTCACATGGTGGCAGGAGAGAGAAGTGCAGAGCAAAGGAGGGAAAAGCCCCTTATAAAACCATCCGATCTCATCACAACTCAATCACTATCATGAAAACAGCACAGAGGTAATGACCCTCATGATTTAATTACCACTCACTGGGTCCCTCCCACAATACATGGGGATTATGAGAACTACAATTTAAGTTGACATTTGGGTGGGGACACAGCCAAACTATCTCAGAAACCATTCACTCATTTATTCCACAAATATTTATTCCACTTCTGTGCATCAGGCACTATTCCAGATATTGGAAACAGTCATAAAGAATAGAAACAAAAAATTTTTGTTCTCATGGAGCTTACATTTGAGTAGGAGAAGACAGACAATAAACAAATTGGTACAATCTATAGCACGTTGTATGCTAAGAACTTTTATGGGGAAATAGGAGGCAGACAAGGGAGGGCCTGGCCAAGGGAAAGGAGAGGGTAAATTCCACTTTTAATGAGGAAGTCATAGGAATGATCACTGAGAAGACATGCACTGAGAAGATATGAGAGCAAAGACCTGAAGGAGTGAGGGCATAGCCAAGCAGAGACCTGGGGAATGAGTATCCTGAAAGGAAGAACCAGTGAGTGCAAAGGCCCTGGGGTAGGAACAGGAAGCCGATGTGGATGGTGAGGAGAGAGCAAAGGAGAGTAACAGGAGGTTAAGTCAGAATAATGAGATCACATATGGCCTGGTGAGCCATGGCGAGGACTTTGATTTTTACTCTGAGTGAAACGGGGAGCCACTGGGATTCTGAGCAGAGGGTGACTCTGACTACCGTGTGGTGAGGACACTGTGTCTCTCAGGGTCGGAGGCCCAGCTTGTATCAGGGAATGTTAGAGTAAGGACAAAAGCTTGTATAATCCCAGTGAAAGACACTGGTGGCTTGGTCCAGAGCAGGCGTCCCCAAACTACGGCCCGTGGGCCGTGAGGCCATTTATCCGGCCCCCTGCCGCACTTCAGGAAGAGGCACCTGTTTCATTGGTGGTCAGTGAGAGGAGCACAGTATGTGGCAGCCCTCCAACGGTCTGAGGGACAGTGACTGGCTCCCTGTGTAAAAAGTTTGGGGACGCCTGGTCCAGAGGGTAGAGATGGAGATTCAAGGCGTATTGTGAAGATCAAGCCAAGAAGACTTGCTGTCAGATGACACATGTCATATAGGAGAAAGAGAACAATTGGGCTTTTTGCAAGAATAGCTGGAAGGATGAATTGGCAATTAACCAAAACGTGGAAAACTGCAGTGGGATACTTCCGAGGAAAGAAGATCAATGTTCTGTTGCCTATGTTATGTTTGGGGTTGCCAATAGGATATCTGAGGGAAAATATCAAGTAGACGGTTTGTGGAAAGAGTCTGGAGTTCAAGAGAGAAGTCTGACTGGGTTACAAATTTGGAGTCTGGTGGGCATACACCTTATTCAGGGGTCCTACATGGGATAGGACCATTCCAGTAGGTAGACAGACTTGAGAGCTGCAGAAGAGGGTGCCCCCTCCCCCCAACTACCAAGAATCTCAGACGACCATCACGTGATGGTCAGGCAGTTGCCAAACTGTCTGGCGCCAAAATGATAATTGGCTGCAGTTGGCACCAAGGAAGGACCGTCCCCCAATAGAGAGAAAACATCTGGAGCTAGTGATCAACAGCTTCCAAATAAGATCTCAGGAGTTGGGTGAGTGGCCCCAAGCATGCACATTAAGGCAAAATCGTGGAGTTTAACGGGTAGATGACTTCCTCCAGAAAAACTCAACTGGAAAGGGAAAAACGCCTCAAATGAGCATGCGCACTCGCAGGCCACTGTGCATGCAGACAGCCTGCCCCAAGGGAAGACTCCCGGGAGAGGAAATCAAACTCAGAACTATGCCAATGTATAAAACCCCAAATCAGGGACAAACAGGGCACTTGGATCTCTCCAGTCTCCTGCTTGGCCCTCTTCCAAGTGTACTTCCTTTCTAAAACTTTTTAATAAACTGTCACTCCTGCTTTAAAACATGCCTCAGTCCTCCCTCTGCCTTAAACCTACTTCTGCCCCTCAGCTGCTTTCTTTCTCTGAGGAGGCAAGGATCAAGTTTGCTGTAGACCCTTAGGGATTCGCCTTCAGTAACAGGATTACCGTGGAAACAGGCATGAACACAAACAATATGCTTCAGGGCTGGTCTTTGGGGACTGCAAGAGTAAGGTGCCCCAAAACGAGGGAAAAACAGGTGGAGAAGGAAAACCAAAAGAGCGCGTGCTGGAGGCCAGGTGTTTCCAGGAGGTGAACTCAGTGCGAAGATGAGGCCTGAGACAGACCATTGCCTCTACTTCCCCAGAGGTCATGGACTCCAGCAAGAGCAGGACCCCGAAGCAGGGAAGACAGAAATAAGACAGAGGGCTCATGCTAAAATAGGGACGCATTTGGAGGCAGCGAATGTGCCCATCTCTTTTCATGGGATCCCAAGCAAAGAAAAGCAAAGGAAGAGAAGCTTCACTTGAGAGTGAAATGAGGTCAAGAGGAGTAATTGTTAAAGAGGAGGCTGATTAAGACCCACCATCTTCGGCAATCCAGGCAGAAGCTGGTGCAGGTGAAGCACAGGTGAGGATGAACCAGGAGCTTTGTGTGGTTGGCGCTGCCTTAGCCAGGGAGCAGGCTGCCTGTGAAATTCACAGAGGACACCTCGTGGGCCAACGCAGAGCCTGTGATTACCGAAGTAGAGGGGAGTGGGGGAATTTAGATAAGTTCAGGAGACAAAAATCCACGGTGCTTAGTTTAAATGCCAGAGGCAAAGGAATCTGGGATGACATGATAAGGTAAAACTCAGAAATAGTGAAGGTTTGTTGAATTTCATTTGGAAAACAAAAATAGGAAACGTAATTAACTCTTGATTTTCTAACAAATGTTTCTTTGAAATCCAGGAACATGGGAAGTATAATGACAGGATGCCTAAAGAGCACTCTGTGTGTGTGTGTGTGTGTGTGTGTGTGTGTGTGTGTGTCTGTGCATGAGAAAAGTCTGGAAGGAGATACTGCCAAGATATTTAGAATAATTATCTTTGGTTGATGGGATTTCAGGTGACCTTCTTTTCTATTATATTTATATTCTGTTTACTCTCTATGTTTTCATTAGCATGTTTTATTTTGTAACTTAAAAATCAGAGTATCAGTCTTGTTCCCCTAAAAAGAAAATGAAAGGTAACGAATAATCCATTAGGTGATTTACAGTTGGTCAAATTCTTGCTAGGTTGCTGGCTCCATTTTTAAGCTCTGAGATATCAACATGAAAATTCCAATTTGAGTAATAAATGAGATAAAATATTGATGTCTTTAAAAATCATAACTAAGATGTAACGGTTATGCTGGCAGATTAACTAAAAACAGTTATGCTAGAAGGATCTACATTGTCATATTAGTTATTTTGAATATTATTTTTTAATTGTTGGTAAGAAGCAAGGAGAAAAAAAGAATATGCTGTTGAGGCAAAGTGAGTATCACTGAGGCCAAAAGGGGGCTCCGGGGCCTGGGAAAGCCATCTTTCCCTTTGATTTGCATTTGGTTAGTCTGTAAGCTAAAATAAACTATTACTTGGTCTCAGTGAGGCCGCCCCAAATCCCATCTATCTATATCCCATGTGTCTATTTTTAAAATTTTATGCTCATGATTCTTTTATATGCCCAATGTCACACTTTGCTGATAGAGTGAGAACATCCCTGCACTCTGCATTTGTTTTGTTTTGTTTTGTTTCACATAGCATTTGGTGGGGCTGCAGATATCTCCTCCCCACAGTCCAATATTGTATATGCTCTCACTCTTCCTGTCCAGGCACAATCCCAGCATGGGGATCATTTAAACCATTTGCAGCTTCAACTCTGAGTCGATGATCACTGAAGTTCGCTGTGGACAGACTGTAAATATGCGCAAGCCTAGTGCTGTCAGCCAGCATGGGTCTGCAGGCCTCTGAGCTCGCGAATCCAAATTCAAATCTCGAATGTTGTCTGTGGACATCCAGGGAGGGGGTAGAGTTGATTAGAAATCTAAGAGCAGGGGTTGTGGGGGATGTGGCATTAAAATGAAACTAAGACCAAACAAATTACTAAGCTGCTTTCCTTTTTCTTCCATAGGAAGCTTACAGATTCGGTACAACCTGGGTGGCACCCGAGAACCATACAATATTGACGTAGACCACAGGAACATGGCCAATGGCCAGCCTCACAGTGTTAACATCACCCGCCATGAGAGGACCATCATTCTCAAGGTATACGTACGTGTACATGTAAATTACGTATAACAGAGCGTTATCATTCCTGTCCCTGTAATGCTTGGCCATTGGTTTCATTTTGAGGGGATAGAAGTGAAAGAGATGCTTATTACACTTTTTCCTACAAGTGCCTAACTAGTGAAGTAGAAATATACATAATTCTGACAAGGAAAGACAGTGATGAATTTGATGACATTTTTTAGGGGAAAATAGAATAAATGTTTATTTCGTATAGTCTTTCTGGTTTTCCCAGTTCCAGACCCCACTTATCTATCAGTTTACTGTTTTTATCCGTTGTACCATCTTTCTTCGCCAAGCTCTCAGACATCTGAAACTTATCCTGTTTCCCAGCAAAGGTTATTTTGGTTTCTCTGACCCACTTCTTTCACTACTCCAACACAATACAAAAAGCTGTAATTTTTTTTTTTTTAACTCTGCAAAAGTCTTTGCCTTAAAAATCCTCAAAACACAGTCTTTCCCCAGAATCTCAGACTCTGGTTGTAGGCTTCTGGCACACAAAGGGATGGTTTTATTATGCCACTCAAATTTTATTTCAGATTCATTGATGACCCCTGCCCCCACCACCAATTTTTACAGTGAAGAAACCAGCCTGGGAAACATCATGAATAAAACATGATGTGAGAAGGTCTCCCTGGGAGCTAGGCCAGGAGATCAAGGATGGGAACTGTCACTGCATTCTCTAGAAGGAGTTCAAAATAGATACCTGTCAGGAGAAAGAACAGCAGGAGGACGCTGTTTTGTCAGTAAAGTGGAGTGTCATTTGGCAGGAGTTCAGCAGCCTCTCAGACCTCATTCTGATTCGGCTGGTTGCTGTGGGAAGTTCGCATTGCAAAGAAAAGGCACAAGCCCTGTCTCTTCTGAGCACTGGTGGATGTCAAATTCATAACTTGATATGGAGTTTGCACGTGGCCTTTAGCAGTAAATGCTGGAGGGCATTTTAAGGAGAGGTCTTTCCCAGGAAACTGACACACACTGTTTCAGCCTGCTGCACCGTCAATCAAAGTGGCGTAATAAGGTTTTCTCGTCATGATCAACAGAGTCCCAGAGCCAGCACAGTGCCTGGCACACATGAGGGGCGGCCAATTCTTTATGGAGTAAACTAAGCCCATCTTTAACCAAGTTTTAGTCAGAAAAGCCAGCAAGTCCGGGAGACAGATGGTTTTGTACCATATCATCAACATTGTCTTCCTCGGCTTTTGATTAGAGACTTCAATTTTAAACCACCCAATTTGTCACCTATTTTTAAAAAGGTGATGTATCTTGCCATTTCACCATTACAAAATGATATTGAAACTTAAAAAGACCTGAACCATTGGCTTTTCAGGCAGTATAATAGCAGAGACACACCACAGCCATAGAATCGTATGGAGTTAACCCTCACCCTGCCACAGTGAATTAGAGAAGGACTTGAGGAAGAGGAGAAGAGTGGATGATTTTTTAAAGTTGGGGCTTTAGAGGCACAGAAAGCCAGAGATCTAGACAGTGGAGAAGCCAGAGACCTCCAGAGAATCCAGGGGATGAATGGGTTTGGGGGCGGGTCTGGTTCTATTGCTCAAGATTCTTTTGGTTGCAAAGGATAGAAAAGCAATTCAGAAGTAATTTATTGGGGAAAATTCCTAGGATAGGTCATAGAATTATAGAATTTGAAAAAGATAAAACCAAACTTTGGGAAGAGAATCTAGGGAGCCTGGAGAATTAAAACTAGGGACCAGAATACCACTGGGTTTCTCTCTCCCTTCCTTCCTTCCTTTCCCACCTTTCTTTTACATTCTCCTCTCTGCCTCTCTCTGAAGACTAGATTAATTAACTCTTACTGCAAGCTCCATCTTTCATGTATCCTGGGACACAGTCGCAAGAGTACTGAACTCATGTCTTCCCAATTTTGCTCCCAGAAGAAAGGGTCCCAGTTTCTTGACACTCGTTTTAAAATCCCAGGGAATCTCAGACAGGCGTGGCTTGAGTCATGTGCTCCCCTTGTTGCGTGGAAGGGAGAACAACGACCCGTAGTCCCTAATCACATCTCTTGATTAGAGTGGGAAACTTGGGAAACTCCCTCAAGAGAACAGAACGCAGTTCCAGAAACAGGAAGGAGACAGGATGACAGGAGTGAAAACGTTGGATGCGTGATTCTGAGGTAGGAGAGGAGATAAATCTGGGAAGTCCTTCCTCGGTTCTGTCCTAGGTTCTGCACCTAGAGGTTCTGGGAAATCTCACTCTCCCTCCTCTATTATGTAACAGAACTGATTGCACTGTGATTTCTGAATGCCCCAACTCTCGTGAGGACAGCTAGGAAATACATCACAGCCTGGGGAGCTCCAATCTCTCAGCCCCAGCCTGTCCCATCTACCCTGGGTCCTGCCCACTCCTGATGGCAAAAGGAAATTAAAGATAGGGGTGGTAGAGGGAGGCAAGATGTGGCTCCTCCTTATGGAAAAGCAGATCCCAGGACTCCTCACTCCCATGCCCTGCTTTCCTTCAGGCAGGGAGGCCTGGCAGAGCATGGAAGTAATTCTGAAAGGGCTTTGGAACACCAAAAAACGCTAATTTTTTTCTTAAAACAATCTACAAATCCATCTTAAGAACTTGTACAGCCTCAACTATGTGTGGAAAGAGATATAATAAAATGTTAACAGTGATCATTTATGTGTGAAGGGATTATAAATGGTTTTATTTCTTCTAGAGTTTCCTATTTCCTCATTTTCTATTATAAGCATGTATTGCATTTTCATAATCAAACAGAAACATGAAACAGCCATCTATTCTCAACCTATCCTGGTAGCCCCCCCAGTTACAATAACATATGATATCAAAGGTATTTCAATAATTTCAAGTGAACATTTACTTGTAATCAAAGAACAAAAATAAGGCTAATGCAAAGATGAGTTGCACAGTGATTATGGACTGATGCCTTTGGAATTAAGGTGAATGTTTATGCATTTGTACATGCTCAAACATCATATAATTTAGATGATCTTCATCAGTGTTTATGGTATCTTTAAAAGCAGGTTTACTTTCATAGCTAGGTTTGGCTAAAGCTAACATTAAATTAATCTGCATTCCCTCAGCACACACCCTCTGAAACCGTGCTGAGCACTTGAGGGAAACTGACCTTCGATGAAACATTTGCTGCCAAAAAACAAAGTGCCCGATCTCCACATAGATAACAAGGAGCTGACTGTAGTCCTTATCAGACACCAGCGTGAACCAGAAGCCATGACAAACCTCAAGTGGCATCATTTGTGAAAACTCTCAGTTGCATCAGGGATAATAGCTTAAGGCTTAATGCCAGTCAAAATATAAACAAATGCAGTGCAGCTAGAGAGTACCTGAAAAAGTCCGGCATGCAGTGAAAAAATTGTGTCAATTAGCTTGAATCCAAAAGCTAAACATTATCATCAGCAGCTCCAAAGTCTTGTGCAACCAGCCCTTTTCTTCTTTCCTTCCTTCTTGCCAACCATGTTTCTTTTTCTTCCTATTTTTTCCTTTCTTTCTTCCCAACCACATTGCACAAGGGATCTAAGGGGGTTTACAGGGAGAATATTAAATGGAATAGAGAGTTAATGGAAGTCACAAAAAGTAAGTCCCCAAGATCAGAGGATATAGAACATGATTATTCAGGTCACAAGGTCTTACTACTTGGATAAATTTGACTGTAAACTTCTCGGCGGCCAGAAGTATACAACCCATAAGGATAAACTAAGCCAGTTCCTCTCTAGAATTGACACTTTCCTTACTATATCATTTTTATTTCATTGTATTCCGTGGATTATATTTATTAACATGGAAAATGCCCATAGCATATTCCACTTATGCAATATCACATACACGGTAACAGCTCACATGTATTGATGCTTTCTATGTCCAAGGCAATATGCTAAGCACTTTATACACGTTTTCTCATTTAATCTTCACAAAAACTTTATGAAGTATGTGTGGTCATTGTTCCCATCTGATGTGTTTTGGAGTACGTCCTTGCCTAAATCTTACGACAAATTGTAATCCCCAGTGTTGAAGGAGGGGCCTGGTGGGAGGTGAGTGGATCGTGGGAGTGGATTTCCTCCTTGATGTTCTTGTGATAGTGAGTGAGTTCTCACGACAGCTGGTTGGTTTTTTTGTTTGTTTGTTTTTTGGGTTTTCTTTTTTATTGCATTTTAGGTTTTGGGGTCCATGTGAAGAACATGCAAGGTTGTTGCATCAGTACACACATGGCAGTGTGGTTTGCTGCCTTCCTCCACATCACCTGTATCTGGCATTTCTCCCCATGCTATCTCTCCCCAGCTCACCACCTCCCACTATCCCTCCCCTATTTCCCCCCGACAGACCCCAGTGTGTGATGCTCCCCTCCCTGTGTCCATGTGTTCTCACTGTTCAACACCCACCTGAGTGAGAACATGTGGTGTTTGGTTTTCTGTTCTTGTGTCAGTTTGCTGAGAATGATGGTTTCCTGGTTCATCCTTGTCCCTACAAAAAAAAAAATATGAGCTCATCGTTTTTTATGGCTGCATAGTATTCCATGGTGTATATGTGCCACATTTTCCCTGTACAGTCTATCACTGATGGGCATTTGGGTTGGTTCCAGGTCTTTGCTATTGTAAACAGTGCTGCAATGAATATTTGTGTGCGTGTGTCCTTATAGTAGAATGATTTATAATCCTTTGGATATATACCCAGTAATGGGATTGCTGGGTCAAATGGAATTTCTATTTCTAGATCCCTGAGGAATTGCCACACTGTCTTCCACAATGGTTGAAATAATTTACACTCCCACCAACAGCGTAAAAGCATTCCTATTTCTACACATCCTCTCCAGAGAGCTGGTTGTTTAAAAGTGTGTGGCATCTCCTGCTTTACCCTCTTCCTCCTTCTCTGGCCTCATAAGATGTGCCTGATTCCCCTTTGTCTTCTGTCATGATTGTAAGTTTCCTGAGGCCTCCCCAGCCATGTTTCCTGTGCCTGTGGAACTGTGAGTCAATTAA